AAATCTTAAACTAAAAACACATATGAAAATCATTTTTTCACCTCAAATTAAATTAGCAACAAAGTGTTTTTTTTTAAATTAAATTAGCAACAAAGTATTTTTTTTAATCATAGTTATTTTACAATACTGAAAAATAAATGCAAAAGGAGGAAAGAAAAAAAATAAAAAAGAACAGAAAACTACCAAAAACCATAAAAAAAAAGAACGGAAAACTACCAAAAACCATAAACAAAATTCAAGCAATAATTAAATTGAAGAAAAATTAAATAGACTAGAAAAAAGAGAAAACCAACCCCCAAAACTTGATTAAATTTACTTGATTATTAAAAAAAAGGCTGAGTAGCCATTTTTAGGTTTTTAGGCTGAGTAATAGGGTCCATTTTGAAATATGTCTCAACCCCCAAAACTTATATGTTTTCTATACAATTCAAATGATCATTATTACTCATCCACTAACTTTGAGTTAAATTTTTACTTTCCCTCTTCTTTTTTTTTCTTCATTTGGATCTTCCAAGTATTCACTTTCTCTCTCTTTTCCTTCTCTTTCTTTCCCATTTTCATCTTCTTCTCTCTCCCTCGACTCTCTTCATGTTTCCTTCTCTCTCTTTCCAATATTTCTTATTCTCTCTTTTTTAGATTTTTCTCCTTCCGATAAAACATAAAAAAATCAATTTTCTAGATTTTTAGGTTTTCCTCCCTCTCTTTTCTTCTCTCTTTTCAAAATTTCTAGATATTTATGGATTTCAAACTTCAGAATTTTACGGATTTTAAACTTTCTTTCCCTCTCTTCAAATTTTCCCAAAATTGAAATGTGCAGATTTTCCCTACTCTCCCTCCCTCCTTCCTCCGTTTCACATTTTTTCTACATGAATCAACGATTCTTTTTTAATATTTGTTAACCAACGAAGTAGATGAGTTATGTACATGAGGAACTTTACTTTTTTTTCCTTCAAGAAAATCAAGAACTGGAGCTTGGGTGTGGGAGAAAATCAAAGCGAAATTGAATGAGAGAAGAGAGAGAGAAAAGAGAGCGAGAAAAGAGAGAGAAAAGCGCGAGTGAGACTGAGAAGAGAGAGAAAGGGAATCTCGATTTTTTAAATTTGGTTAGGATTTCGTTTTTCCTTTTTTAGTTTACAAATTACAAAATAAATAAATTTTGAAACAATTTGATCAAATTTAAGTTCGAAATATTAGCAAATAATCAAGATCCATAGATTAAAGATTTTATTCAAATTTAAAATTTAATCCAAATTTGTTTCTTTAATTTGTTTTCTCGTCTCTCATTTATTCTCTCCCGTAAGTTTTATTATGATTGGAGTTCAAATTTAAAATTTAACATCTTTTTAATTGTGGAAAGTAGGGAAGAATCTGTACACTTTAATTTTAGAAAAATTTGAAGAGGGAGAAAGAAAGTTTAAAATACGTAACGTAAAATTCTATAAAGTTTGTAGAGAAAGAGGGAAAAAGTTTGAAATTCATAAATATCTAGAAATTTTGAAAAGAGAGAGGGAGAGAAACCTAAAAATATGGAAATTTTGATTTGGTTATGTTTTACCAGAAGGAGAAAAATCTGAAAAGAGGGAACAATAAAGATTGTGAAGAGGGAAGGAAACATGAAGAAATAGGAGGGAGAAAGAAGAAAAGATAAAAATGGGGAAGAAAGAGAAGGAGAAGAGAGAGAAAGTAAATACTTGGAAGATTCAATTGAAAAAAAAAGGGAAAGTAAAAATTTAACTCAAAGTAGTTGAGGGGTAGTAATGGTCATTTGGCTTCTTTGGTGATGTAAGCAAATATTTAGAAAACATAGGTTTTGGGGGTGGAAACATATTTCAAAGTGAGCTTGCGGAAAAGGCTACTCAGCCCCAAAAACCCAAAAAAATGTTTGTCCATAAAGATTTAAATTATAGTTATTAAAATGAAGATAACTATTAGAATAAAAAAAAACTAAGAAGATAGAAGACAATTTTGAAACTAACTTTTTGTCTTATTATCTGCGTAGTAGAAAAGTCTGTTTAGAAAAGATGGTGTATAGAAGAGAGGGTGTAGGTAGGTAAAGTAATAAAACAAAATTAAATTGTTAGTTTTTCTCCTAAAAAAGATGAAAAAATAACAATTTGTTACGTTTAAAACTGAAATCATCACAAATCACAGCTATTTGGAACAAAAAAATAATCGTAGGAGAAACGAGATTTGAAATCGTTTGAGATTTTAAATTCATTTTTTTTAATATCCAAAAGCTGGAAATGATTTCAAAATCTCCCTCTAAATCAGAGATTCCAAATAAGGGTTAAATAATTTCAAACAAAATTTTATCAAATCATGCATAACATAATTTCAAATATTTTCTGAATAAACAAAATATCAATTTCTAAGATATTTAACAAATCTATAATAAAACTTCAATTTCAYATGCATTATATCAATTTCAAATCTTCCTATCAAATCCAAAATAATTTTTTTGTTTTGGAAGKGATATGGTAAATTACTTTAGAGAAATCCTACAAATCTAACTAACTTCTCCATTGAGTAGTTGTCAACTTTCCTAGAGGCCTAGAAGGATGTTGAGAAAACCCAATGACCCGAACAGTTGAGTTGAAATTTGTAAGAACCGAAATTTCAGTTTGGTTCACGGGTTCAATAACATTTTGGTCGGTTCAACCCGAACCGAACCAGACCCATGAAATTAACAAAAAAAAACTAA